CTCTTTAGAGCAAACAAAGAAGATTCTGGGACATATTTGTGTAAAGCTGAAAATCTTCTTGGCTCAGTTACAAAAGGAACATTTCTTATTGTTGTTGAGCTGCCAAGATTCAGCATCAAACCTCCTACATCACTCGTCACCCTTCCTGGAAAAACTGTTCGTCTCAATTGTAAAGCTACAGGAGAGCCTAAACCAGTCATAACATGGAGAAGAGAAAATGGCGTTCTTCCTATTGGCAGGCATGAAGTAAGAGATGGTTCTTTGATCCTCAAAGATTTTACGACAACAGATTTTGGTGCATATATTTGTACTGCAACAAGTGCTGGTGTTTTTAACAAAGAATGGAGATCCACTATCAAGGCTCACTTTAGAGATTGTTCTGAAATCTTCCAATCAGGAGAGAGACGTAATGGCAAATACATAGTGAATCCTGACAACCAAGGTAGCTTCCAAGTGTACTGTGACATGACAACTGACGGTGGGGGATGGACTGTGTTTCAACGTCGTAACAATGGATCGGTCGATTTTTATCTCAATTGGCAACAATACAAAACAGGTTTTGGAAACCTGAATGGCGAGTTTTGGTTGGGTAACGATTACATTCATCGACTGACAGCAAGGACACCATCAAGTCTTCGCGTGGAAATCGGGGACTGGGACGGAAATCGGATTTTTGCCAAATATGGTAGCTTTAGTGTAGGTGATGAGTCAGACAAGTACAGGTTGAGTGTTGGCGGGTATTCGGGTACAGCTGGAGACTCAATAACATATAGTAACAACAGGGCTTTTACCACCATAGATAGAGATAACGATGGTCGTTCAGGCGGTAATTGTGCAGTGATGCGTACCGGTGCGTGGTGGTATGGAAACTGTGCATACTCTAATCTTAATGGAAAGTATTTAGGAAACGTAGTTGAGAAGGGTGGCTTATATTGGTTACATTACAAAAATAACTTGCAGTCTTTTAAAATAAGTGAAATGAAGCTTCGACCACAAAACCATAAATAAGTAGATCATTGTCATGGAATGATAGACTCTGAACATTTTACGTCACCGCTGGGTTTTCAATGCATTGTGGGATCAGTTTCTAGAGAAAACAAAAAAAATTCCACTATGTTACGTTCTAACCCAATCCTGCAATGCATTCTTTATATGGTATACGTTCGTAACATAAAGGCTTCAGAGATCTATTGATATATAGCGTGTGATCTGATGATGTCCGTATGTCAGAGCTCAAAAATAAAACTTTTTTTAATAAGAAAGAGAGAAATATAGAAAATATGTTTATCCACATCATCAAATGCAACGTATGTCTTTTAATAATAATAATAATAATAATAATAATAATAATAATAATAATAATAATAATAATAATAATAATAATAATAATAATAATAATAATATGTGGTATTTATATAGCGCCGATATCCTCTGAGTTCTTGAATTCACATGTATAGATCATTTCACACGGACCGCTGTTTTAAGGCGCAATTGGCAGTCATGCGGCTTACAATCATGAGGGGTTAGTAATTAGTATGGGTTAGTAGTAAGGCCTAGCCACACACACCGGGAATCATTCCCTACTCTTATGCGAACAGTGGTGTGGGTTCTTTAACGTCCCTCTAATACAGGTTAGTGAGTGAAGTGTAGAGAGACTGTTTCGTTATGCAATAGATTTATTTGTATTAATATGATTATTTTGAAGGTGATTTTCTGACTGATATTATAGTGTAGAGCACAGGAGACCCGCGACATTAAAACCAACTGCATGAGGGTGTAAAATGTGATTAAATAAAATATTTAAAGCAAAGTTAAACCAACACTAGTAGCCACTTATCGATAGATTATGCGTAACGCGGCTTACGCGCCTGCTGTGCTGTCACACAATGATTTACGCATCACGTGTGATACGATAACTTCACGCAAAGTTTTCTTAGTACGTCATCTGAAAATTTGGGTTGTGCTGTGCTCTTCTCACCTCCCACCTAAGCACCAACGCCAAGCTCATCTACTGGTGATGAGTTTCAATGTGTAGTAAACAGGTTGGGCAATTGGGGAAGAAAGCAAGTTACTTTTCATTTTTTTCATGTAACTTGATGAAACAGTCAAAATAATTAGTAAATATCATATGCTACTTGCGCTTTTATATGACAAAAAAACTATTCGTTTACAAATGTGGTATCTGTGATCTCATCGGAATGCATCAGTCTAGGTATCATAAGTACGCGCATGTGCAGATCGCTTGGTGCTTCGAGTAGTATGCTTACGAAACTAAATCAATGGCCTTTCTAGCGTTAGGCAGTCCTGTGTGGGCAAAGATTTCAAATTAAAACAAGAAGAAACATTTTTTATCAATAACAAAAAGGCGAGTTTATGATTTTATGGTATATCACTTACTTTTGGGCCTGAGAGGTCAACGTTCACTTAGCATCACATAATCTACATACCAACGTTTGATTTTATCAGTGAAAGCAAGGACTACTTTAAACGTTCATTGCTGGTATTAATTACATGACCTTTTAGGTCAAGTTTATTTTAGTCTCAAGAGAGTTTGGATATTTTGAACTAGACGCTCTTATTAGRCCGTGAGCTCGGCTATTTTGGAGAAAAATTAAGAAATATATATTTTAATCTAATTTTTATATTTTATGTAATATCCTGCTGTCTTTCTCAAGTTTCATTTACATTCTTAATATCATATGATTAGACAAAATATAACATCATAATATTTTCACTCGTGTCTATCAATTTTCAAAAATATCTAGTCCGACTTCACACCCCAGGGGCGTCTAGTTTATAATAATTTAATATATATGTTATTGAAAGTGATTAAAGTTTTTTAAAGTTTTAAATTTTCTAAAGATTTTTTGATGTGTAAGTGTGTAGTTGCGTTTATGCTTCTTGTTCTTTTTTTATTTCTCAATTTATTTCTAATCTTCTTTCATTCATTTTTTCCTTCTTTCTTTCTGTAAAGAACGAGAGTTGGAGTAAAAGAGCGACAAATGACTAGAAAGTTGGTGTTTGAGAAAACAAAAACATTTCTTTGTATATTATTGCTCATTAATATGCTTGAGTTAGTCGACCAGATAATTTATGTGCATCGCGTCGCGCCATTTTGTATCGAGTTTCTGGGAATGTTTCATTCATTCTTCCCTTCATTTTTGTGACGAAGGCCTTCTGGGAAGGCTTCGTCACTATGTCATCGGTCTGAGTGAAAGAGTTGTAACCATTCCAATTGAAGCAGGCGTTCCTAGCGGTTATTTAAACACGTGATCGTTGTCCTGACCATGTGCGTTCTCTAGCGACGTGTTCGTGCTTTCAAAGGTGAGTTGTTGTTTTTTTATCGCAATACAATGTATTTAAACTATTTTGTGTCTAGAACTAGACACAAATTTCTATCTATTTGCAGTCAAATTTGTATTTCTAAAAACATATTCCAGATTTTGGGGTGCTTTATGTGGTTTGTTTGCTAACAAAAGTCCGATTGCTTCGCTTGGCTTTAATATTACACAAGACCTCAGTGCAGGCGACGTTCTTCAATTCCATTAGGGGAACAAATAAACCCAGAAATGGCGTTCAAAATCTCCTTCGGCAGACTCAAACTTCCCTTCAGGGAACAAGTAGTCCTGACAGCAAGCTATAGTCTAGCTCGCTTAGTCGCTTATTAATATTTAACTGAGCTTTTGTATTATTCAATGCTAGAGTACAAACACTAAAAGAGTCAAAAGAATTAGCATATTTTAGCAGTATTTAGTGGTATTTATGTTGCACAGTTCCCTTCCTTCCTTGTGTAATCCATCTGTTGACGGTGAAACGTTAGTAAACATTTATCTACACAATTGACATTGTTCATTAATATATTGTTTTATATAATCTAAATACAGCAATATGCAGAAATTATGGTTCTTTTTGCTCATACTTCA